TCTCTGGCATACACACACACACACACACACACACACACACACACACATGCACCTGGCAAATTCCTCAAGCTGCTGTGCTTGGAGTCAAACCAGCAAGCCACAAAGAATCAGGCTTCCAATGCACACACTTAATCACTGTGCAACGGGGTCTGCACCCATACTCTTTTTTAAAATGTTTCCTTTTCCTTTTCTTTAATTGCCAGAGGGTAATATGTGATCCCCAGAGAGAGAGTGAGAGAGAATGCACAAATGCACCCAAGTGGGGCATGGTCATACCACAATCCCCTTCCTTCCTATCCTCTTTCCTGTCAAGATTTTGAGCATATATGCACAGGCACTCCATGTGTTCAAGTTGCCAGGGCCACAGATGGAACCATGGTTGGCTATGTGGGATGTGACTCCCTTTATCACTGAGCTACAGACCAGCCTGGGTAGTGAATCTATTCTGTACGATACTATAATGGTGGATTTATGTCATTATTCACTTGTTCAAATCCACAAAATGTAGACTACCAAGAGTGAACCCTATATAAACTTATGAACTTTTAGTGATGATGATGTGTTGATGTGGGCTCACCAGCTGTAACAAACGTACCACTCTGAAAGAGGCTAAATATGCATGGGAGCAGGGGTAGATGGGACATTTCCATACCTTCCTCTCAATTTGTTGAACCTAAAACTGCTGTTAAAACAAAACAAAAACAAAAAAGGACTCCTTAAAAATAAAAACAAAACAAAAATCTTGTTTCTGCTAATAATTCTCTCTGTATAATTCACAAGAAAATTTTTCCACAGTAAATTCTCACTAAATTTTAAATCATCATTGCATTACAGGTCCCATGCTTGCTAATTAATGTTTACATGCTACTTATAACTATAAGCAAGTTCATGTGTTTTTTCCTCTAAAGATATTTCTCCGAAATATGTACAGACTGATCCCATTCTGTTTTTCCTCATGGTCAAAGGCTCTTAGGAACTGACTACTCACCTGCCTGAGATAGAGGAAAAAACTTGAGTACTGTCCAGCTTCAGGAAGGTATGAAAGAAACACTGTGATGCAGATTAGTAAGACAGTGGAGTCTTTTCCAACTTTCTTCAATGACTGTGAATAAGCAGAACAAAAACACATAAAAACCAAGGGACACTAATGTCAGTATGTTCTGGAAAAAGGTTTTAATGATCTGTTATTAAGAAGTGCAATAAAAATTGAATGGATTATAAAAGGAAATGAAAACCTTAACATTAAATCCTCCCCAGCTCTCAAATCCTCCCCAGCTCTCTGTGGAAGTTAAAAGCCCTCATTTGGTCTATGTCTCAAATATTACAGGTTTTTATTTATTTCATTTTCTTTTTCTTTTTTTCTTTTTGCTATAGGGTGTGTGTGCTTATAGGAGACAGAGGTGAGAAATCATTCCCCAGAGCAGAAGGCCACACTGCAATTCCTTCTTCATTCTCCTCTCAGAATTTTGGGCATGGCGGCACACATTCCTGGCATGTTTTTCAAGCTGCTAGGTCCAGGACTTGAACCTGCAATCAGCTATGTGGGATCCAGAAACATTTCAAACCAGATAATGGGGGGGGGGAACAGGGAAGAGTGAGAGATGAGATACTTTTACTCAGTACTTTTTCTAGTTGTTAATGACATCTCCCATGCCAAAAATAAACAAAAAACTACCTTAACCTCCACACTAGGAGCTAGCTCCAAGTATAGCTTTTTTATAATGCACTTGTGGATCTTTGTTAAAATAGCACTGGTTAGCATCCCTAACAGATACTAAACATCCTATGAACTAACCCTAAAGAACTAACATACTTAGAGAACCGTTTAAGAAAATATGCTTCTCAAAACCTGCAGATGCAAGAACAGTTATGTCGTTGGACTCCCACACGGTCAACTGCAGTTTGAGTACCAGACCTGGTGGCTTGTAATTCAAGCTGGGCGTGTGTGTACATGCCCAAGAGCCCAAGAGGAGAATGGAGAAGAAGGGACTGTGGTGTGGCCATCCCCCCGGGGGGCGATTTCTCACCGTCTCTCCAGGCAGGCATCGTGTAGCAAAAATTTCTCTTAAAAAAAAGAGAAAATCACTTCCTTCACAATATAACATTTTTCAATCTATTTTTCAAAATGTTAATATTCAATATGCCCATAAACCTAGTAAACAAATAAATATTCTCTCACCACATGGTCAGACCAGTTCCCTCTAAAGAATCCTTCTTACATACACAGGATTGTTCAGTAGCACCTTTAAAAGGTGCTACGTTGTTGAAGTAGAAAGGGCTTCAGATTTTCATCTGTACCTTCACAGTATCCACAGTAAGAATAGCTGACGTCTACTGAGACCTTGCTACACACTAGACATAGACTAATTTTCACACATTCACTGTAATCCTCATGACTGCCCTGAAAAGTAAGCCCAGGTAGTTCAACTTCAGAGAAGTGGTCACCACATGAGAGGAAGGGTGGAAGCCCAACTGCTAGCACAGGTCCACTCCTGCCTCCTCCTCAGAACACTTTCCCTGTCTGACACTATAGCACAAACAGAATACGAAGGGTACCCAGATCTGTATGAGAGGCGTTTTAGAAAACAGTTTCTAATGAGTTACTTTTCTTATTATATATATTTTTCCCTAAAAAATGAACTACAGGGGAAAAAAAAATCTCTGGCTCTTTAATCCCTGCACTTTTTTTAACAGATTTTTGTTATAGGACACGTGCAGTTGCTGGAGAAACAGAAAGCAAGCAATCACCCCCTAAGGGAAGACAGCCACGCAGCAATCCTTTCCCCTCCATTCTCCTCTAAGGATCTTGAGCACACAAGCATATGTGCCTGGCATGAGCTTTAAGTCATTGGGTCTGGGAATCAAACTGTGGTCAACATGTGGGAGTTCACTGACATAACCATTACACCATCTACTGGTCCCCACATTATTTTTTTTAATGAAACATTTGAAACCAGATAATTGAGGGGGGAGAGTGAGAGATAAGATACTTATTTTCAGTAGTTTTTCTAGTTGTCAATGACACCTCTCATACAAAAAATAACCTATTTATTATTTATCAAAAACAGGATCTATTCAGTCTACAAAATACAAGTTCAAAGTCACTGATCAAGTAGACATATATTAACAACTTAGAAAAGAACTACTTCAGTTAGATGGAATGTATTTACCCTTTTTGAATTAAAGTGAATGAAAATGACTACTTCAAGTGACCACCTTATTTTGTTAAAAAATGGTGTAAGGGGGCAGCAGGTGGCATGGTGATTAAGGTGCTGGACTCCCACATGGCTGATTTTGGTTTGAGTCCAGGACCCGGCAGCTTGCTTTCTCATTCATTCTCTCTCTCTCTCTCGTAAGCACACATATACTACAGCAAATTAAAAATAATAATAATTTTAAAAATTAAAAATTGGGACCAGTAGATGGTGCAGCAGTTACATTAATGGACTCTCACATGACCAAACACAGTTCAAGTCCCAGACCCGGTAGCGTGAAATTCACACTGGGCATGTGTGTGTGCATGCCCAAGATCCCAGAAAGAGAAGGGACTGTGGTGTGGCCATCCCTCCACCGAGGGGTGATTTCTCACTTTCTCTCTCACTGTCTCTTTCTCTCTGGAAAGCACATGTACCGTAAGGCAAAAACTTCTAAAGGCAAATAAATAAATAAGTAATTCTTTTAAAAAGAAAAAGATTTTTTTAAAAAAGGATTTACAACAACTATGTGAAAAAAACTTCCTTCTACAACCTATCAGAGATTAACTGTACATCTCTCTTTTCCCTTATAGCATGCTTGACCAAGTAAGTACCAATTCTAGATATGCTTTGGTTCACAGACTATCTCAGTCCCTTGTTTGCAATTACATTTTTCTACTTTTACTAGAGAAAAAAATAAATCAACAGCTGCTGGAATCTTGAGGCAACACATACTATTTTCGTTTGCTTGGCTTAGAAAGATATTTAGGAAAGTAAATATTTTCTTATTTTTTTACTTACTGCAAAAGGGTCTGCTTGTTTCCAAGAAATCTGAGCACCCCAGGAAACTGGTCTCATTTTTTCGGGCAGAGATTCTGGAACGGCCACTAAGATGAAGCAGATGTCCAGAAGAGCCACCACCGTAGCCACCAATACGACAAGGCTGTCTCCATAACTGGCCGAAAGGTAGGCTCCAATGGCTGGGCTGCTGACCAGACTGGCCGCGAAGGTGGCTGAGACCTGCAGGAAAGCACTCTCTCAAACAGCGCCCACAGGGGCATGGCTGTGGCCAGCCTTCTCCAGTTTTAGTAAGACAAAAAGGATGTGTTGCACACAAATATTAAGAATAAAAAAAATTAGTTTTATTTTAAGAATTATTAACTAGACGTACCCTGGAGAGCTACAAGAGTAAAAAAGAATGACCTTATTAGAAATAAAAATTGTGGGGACCAGCAGATGGCATAATGGTTTCACTGCTGGTCTTCCATGTAGTTGACTGTGGTTTGAGTCCAGGACCCAGCAGCTTGAAACCCATGTCAGGTATGTGTGTGCACATGCCCCAAATCCCAAGATGAGAATGGTGGATATGGGACTGCGGCATGGCCATCCCCCCGGTGGGTGATTTCTCACTTTCTGTCTCCCTGGTGGGTGCACATACCCTATAGAAAAAAAAATCTCTCTCTCAAAAAAAAAGGGGAAATTGTGAAAATCTTCCCCATAAATAGTCACTCTTAGATATTCTTTAATTAGGGATGTGGGAAGAGTATGAAAAAAATTTCTGCAGGGTTAATGATAAAATCTACAAATCACTTAGGGACTATGCTTCAGTTCATCTACCAAAACACTGCAGCACTGCTTCACCACGTTATCATCTGGTGTCATTCTCAGCACTGATGGCAGGGTTGGGAGCGGAGAGAGCAAGGGTAAGACCAAACCCCTGATATCCTTAGAGAAAAAGTACTCTAACAGGGCTGGCCCCATAGTATAATGGTTAAGTGGCATGCACTGAGAGCCGGATCCCACATGACCCACTACGGTTCAAATTCTGCCCTCTGTGACTTCGGAAATAGGCTGAGCAGGTATGCATGCACACCCAAAATCTTTTTTTTTTCTTTTTTTGAGAGAGGTTTTTGGTATAGGGTGCATGTGCTGGCCAGAAAGAGAGACAGAAAGTGAGAAACCACTCCCCAGGAGGGATGGCCACGCCGCAATCCCTTCTCCATTCTCCTCTCGGGATCTTGGGCACACACGCACTCAAGCTTGGCGTGAGTTTAAGCCCCGGATCCAGGACTCGAACTGTCATCGACTGCATGGGAATAAAGCAACATAATCATTATGCCATCTGTTGGTCCCAACATACTCCAAATCTTGACAGGAAGGAGAAACAGAGGGAAAAGGAGTATAGCGTGCATGACCATGCACTACTCGAATGTGCCTTTTCTCTTGCCCTCTACCAAGTGTAGGTGCCCTCTGGCAATTACAAACAAACAAACTGTAACAAAGAGGAACAAAAAGATCTGTTGAAAGATAGATTGAAGCTTTTAGACTTAGAGGACTGTGGATTTTAGTCACCACATAATTGCTGTCCAGAACAGACCAAAAGCAGCTGGCCACATCAAAGGCTTATAGTCCACTGACCCACTGCACACTGCCTTCCTACAGCCTATGGGATCCATACTTTACTGCAGAACACAATCAGAATGTTAGGACGCTTAAAGGGCAATCTCCATATTGTAACTAAATTAAATGCCAAAACCAAATCATTAGTTATTTTATTTTTGGAGAGATTTTTGCTATAGAGTGCATGCACTCACTGGAGAGACAGAGAGACAGAAAGAGAGAAATTAACCCCCAGGGGGGATGGCAACACCTCAATCCCTTCTCTTCCATTCTCCTCTCGGGATTTTGGGTGTGCACACACATGCCCAGTGTGAGTTTTAAGCTGCTGGGTCCAGGATTTAAACCACAGTTGTCTATGTGGGAGTCCAGCAACATAACCATTATGCCTTCTGCTGGTCCCAAGTCATAAGTTATTTTAACCTCTAATGGATTTTAACAGAAACCACAGAAATTATTAGCTATGACTGCAATTCTTAGGAAGTCAGTGATAGTTTTCCCTCATTCATCAGTCCCCAACTGAATATAATACAGTGTTTCTGCTGTGTTATATTAAAAACACCATAAAAGCCAAAAATCAAATAAAAATATTTCTGGAGAAAAATAAAAGACATAAGAGAATTCTAATTTGGGGAACAGGAGTTTCTCTTTCAACACTTGTTAAGTACCTATGATGTACCAGATAGAGACAGAGCTCTCACCCTTCAGGTTTCCCCACTTTATGTGAGAACATCAAAACAAGCACATACATTTGTTAGGAATTACAGTGACATGTAAATAGGTAAGGGCAATGAGAAATTATCAAAAATTTATTACTTATGCAACTACATAAATAAATAATTTCTAATAAATCACTTTTAGAACTCCAGTTTTATGAGAAGAAAATGTATAGTATTGGTGTTCTGTAAAAATCAGGCATAAACGCTAAAAGACAAGTATTACTTTTACTTACTGCTTACAGTAGGCCTCTTAAATGTGATGACCAAGGACAGAGCTAATGTTGCTATTTTATTCCCTTAATAAATTAATTGTCATTACCCTTCTAATCATGTTCTACAATTTGACTGTACTATTGCATTTGTTTTTCTCAAAGTAGTCTCACCTAAGCCCATTCCAAGTGCTCTAGTGGTATTCACTATAAATCAACTCAAAGCACTCCCATTGAAAATTCACTTAAAAAGTATTATTTTATCACAAACATTTTCTCATAAAACTGACTTAGGAGATTATTTTAAACTCTTTTCACAAGTGTACGTGTGTGTGTGTGTGTGTGTGCATACATATGTCATATTACATACTGTATGTTATATGTCTACATGATAGAAAGCATTAAGGAATTCCGTTCACTTTAGTTTAAAAACAAAAGAGCGCTCATACAAATTAATTTAAATACTCTAATTCATGTGACTTAAAATCAACGACAAATAAGCCCGTTTGCATTGCAGGATCCTCAGATATTAAGAAAACACTGATATAGTCTTCAGAATCTAAGGGGTTATTATTTGATTCCACGAAACTCTATGCAAAATGTTGTGTCTTCCTTTAAACAAAGCAGCCCACTTGCTTAGTCTGAGATCATCTAAACTTTTCTTCCACTATCATTCAGGAGCACTCTGGTAAACAAATCTAAAGGGTGGCTTCAAATTCTAAGTGTACCTATTTCAAACTGGAGAGGACTTAGACCTCATGATGGTAATCCACAACAAACTCTCAGAGAGTATTGGCTTACTTATTAATGTGACGATTCCCTGCAGCCTATGGTTTACTGGGCGAGTTCCAGTATCAAGGCGTGCATATTTTACATATCGTTCCTTAGCAGATATTGAAATGCTCCTTACAATTCTACTGGCACACCCTGTGCAATAAATCTGCCCGTGTGTGTGGGTTGCAAGCTTTCCTCCTCCTTCCAATTTCTGCCATCTTAACATCTAGCATGTGGGTGAGTATGAAGGAACTGGCAAGGAGCACACCTCAGCCAAGTGCCACCTTAGCCTGTACATGCATGCTCATTGGCTTCTCACTGTCCCTGGGAGCAGGCATTAGTCCCAGCTGCCATCTTACAGTGAGGGCTGAGCTGGGGTGGAAATTACATTTCCATCATTTCTGGTTCCAGAACTGTATCTCTCCTGAAGCATTACTGCTTTGTCAACAATTTCCCAGCTGAAAACAATGAATTAAAAAAAAAAAAAAAAAAAAAACAACCTTACAAAACTTCAGGGAAAAGAGCACCTCAATAGGTATTTTTCCATTGTGTGAAGAAAGTTACCCCCTTTTCTGCTGGCCAACCCTCACAAGCCTACCTTGAACCTCCTGCCTTCTTTCTCTGGGGCCTTCCTGTTTCTCCCTCTGTCCTCCTCCACAGCACTTTAGGGATGCCCCCATTATAGTACAAGACAGAAGAGACTTTCAGGAAGGAAGGGAAGGAGGACAAGCAGTAATCAGAGAGGAAGAATAGCTAAAAGAGAAGATTTTAAACTACTGACATCTACAGTCAGTGAAGTAAGAATTGTGTTTGTGGATCAACAGTGACTTACTCATATGTCCACTGCTGGGGCTGGCTTACTAAGTTATTCATTCAGTCAGAATGACTACTTAACTCTACTCCAGGAAGTAGGATTTAAAACAAAGATGAAGATCCAGGAAAGGAGAGATACTTTTCTCCTGGGTTTCTGCCTTTCAAGCTAATCTCCCTAACCCTACTGCCCACAATCCAGCCAATCTTCTTGAACGGTTCCCAACAGGGAGGAAGCTGGGAGAAAAGTAGAAGATGGATTAGCATGGTCAGGTTCTAAGCCCTCTCTGATGTGAAGTAGGTGCCACAAAAACTTCTGGTCTTAGCACCTGTTCACTATTTAAGGCTCTTTAAGAGATCAGTTAACAATAAACAAATCAAGCCAATTTTTTAGAAAATTTTGTAACTGATAACTCACACATTACTACTAATCTTTTGACTCCTAAATCAGAGAATAAATTACTAACGAATGTCTATTTTGCAATTTTTAACTTTGATAAGAACCCTTTTTATTTCATTTACTTTAGATTTCCTCTCTATATAAATCAGTATTTACCACTTACGTTACATCTCACTTTCCAGTGAATTTTCAATAGAATGTTGGTCATCTTACCCATCCATAAGCAGTGCTTCGCTCCTGCTCCTGTGTGACATCAGCTACATAGGCAAATATCACAGAGAATGTGACCGAAAAGACACCAGACACAGAGATCATCGCAAAGTACCACCTGTGGAAAGATCATTTCATTACCCAGGTGAGACAGTGTATGCACACTTTTAAAACTAGGGACAGTGCCCAGAAAACTAGATATTATGTAAAGATTATAAGTCGATAAATAAGTAAACAGAAACGTATACTTATGTATATATAGAAAAATAAAATTAAAGATGGAGAGGAAGAACTGGAAACATACTTATTTTGTTATTGTTCAAAGGCAGTCAGTACATGTAGTCTAAAAACTTCATCAGAAGAAAAAAGAGAAGATAGAATATGAGGGGGCCAGAAGGTGGCATGGTAGTTGAGGTACTGAATTTCCATATGGCCTATTGCAGTTTGAGTCCTGGCCCTGGCAGCCTGCTTTCTCACTTTCTCTTAATCTGTCTCCCTTTGGTGAGTTCATATGCTCTACAGCAAATTTTAAAAAATAAAATAATTAATTAATTAATAAAAAGAATATGGGAATTAAGCAAACGTTAGTCTTAAAGGTAGCCAACAGATTAAAAAGTTCAAATTTCCTAGTGTTAGCTAAGAAAGACATTCAATAATTTAAAAGATCTATGTAAAAAAAGAAGGTATAACAAAAATATTAACATAATTAGGATGAAAAATTTCTATCATATACATACTTTAAAAAAAACTAAAAGGTTAAAAAACAGAATCTCACAAAATGAAAAGTGGGTTTTACCCTAGGATATAAAACGTTTCAATATTAGAAAATCCATGATACAATCATATTTGTAGCTCTAAGAGAAAAAAGCTAATAGCCTTCCTCTATTGATAGTAAAAGGTCATCTAATAATTGACATCAATTGTCAAAAAAAAAAAAGAAAAAAAGGCAGCAGCAGCTTGGGCCAGCTAGTGGCCTGAAGGTTAAGGTACTTGGATTTCACATGACCAATTTTGCAGTTTGAGTACCAGACCCAATGGCCTGAAAAATCACTCTGGGCGCATGTGTACGCATTCCCAAAATCCCAAGGGGAGATTGGAGAAAGGATTGCTGTGTGGCCATGCCTCCTGAAGGGTAATTTCTCACTTTATCTCTCACTCTCTTTCTTTAGCATATGCATCCTATAACAAAACTTAAAAAGAAAGAAAGAAAGAAAGAAAGAAAGAAAGAAAGAAAGAAAGAAAAGCTCTAGATAGCTTGGAAATGAGTATTTTTCAATCCCAAAGACCTAATGCTTAATGATGAAACATTACAACATGGTCTACATACAAGAAGATAAGCCCACAATATCACTTTTATTTAACATTATTCATTAGTCAATAGAATTAGCAAAAGCAGTGAGCAGTATAAAACTGGAAGGAAAAGGGGAAAATTATTTACAGATGACACTAATATACATAGAAAGCCAACTCAAACTAGGAAAGCCCATTTTTGTATTACAAAGAGAGTTCAAAATGTACAAGAAAAAAAAAGGAATTACAGTACAATTTTATTTGGATGCAAAAATTATTGAAATCCAGTATAGTTTTTCATAATATGCATTTTACATGAACTTTGCTTATTTGTTTAGACAGATTTTGGCCATAGGGTCATAGGTACTTACTGAAGAGACAGAGAGAGAAAGTGAGAAATCACCCCCTAAGTAGCGATGGCCACATGGCAATCCCTTCTCCTCCACTCTGCTCTCAGGATTTTGGGCATTCATGCACACACGCCCGATGTGAGCTTGAAGTCACCGGGTCCAGAACTCGAACCACGGTCAGCCATATAGTAGTCTAGCACCTTAACTACTATGTACTTGCTGGCCCTTTCCATTAACATTTTAAAGCCCCTTCCCAAGTGAAACAAAAAGGATAAAATTTACAGAAATAAAACTTTAAAAGAAATGCACAAGATCTAAAGAAAAAGCTGTTATAAATATATTTTTTTGGTTTTCTTACATTTATTTTTTTTTTTTTAAATATAACACGAGGAAGGTGTTAAAACTGGTGTAATAACTCAATAGAATAAGTATTCGAGATTTTGGGAGGGATGAAGAGGGATATATTCAGAACACTTCACCAGAATCCCCCCAGCTTGATCATAGTGGATTAATGATGTGTTTTGTGGATTGGTTAGTCAATGACATCAGCTTGGCGGATCTTTCTTTCTGCACCAGAACCCACTGAGTTATCTGGTCCCTTGGCTGATGAAGAACCATTAGGTGAGGAGCACTGGCTGGTGATGTTTTTCAAGTAACTGACCAACCATCAGATCGAGATGCTGCAACAGCCTTGGGGCCCTTGTAGACTAGCCAAACCTTACAGGCGATGCACTTGCCAGTGTGCTGATTAAGAATTACTGAGAACTCTACCTCATCTCCTGCCTATAGCTCAATGCCGTCTTGAACTTCTTTCACATGAAAAAAGAGCTTCTTGCTTATCTCCTACTTCATAGTTAATGAAGCCAAACTAATCTCTTTTTTTGGAGAGGTTTTCGCTATAGGATGCGTGCGCTCGCCAGACAGACAGAGAGAGACAGAGAGACAGAAAGCGAGAAATCACCCCCAGTGGGGGTGGTCAGGCCGCAATCCCTTCTCCTCCATTCTCCTCTCGGTATCTTGGGCACACATGCACATGTGCCCGGCATGAGTTTTAAGCCACCTGGTCCAGGATGCGAACCATGGTCGACTACATGGGAGTCCAGCGACATAGCCATTACACTAACTGCTGGTCCCAGAAGTCAAACTAATCTTTCACACACTCCACTGTGGCCCAACACAGGGGTGTGATGTTACAGGCCATAGTCTGTGCTTTCTGGCCTAGGACACACAGCTGGAACTAGACACTCTCCCCTTTCTGCAGGTAATCCCCTCTGTTGGCCATCCCAACTATGCCGAATGGATAGACCTCACCTTTCATATTCCCCCTCCTACACAATCTCAATCATTCCTTGGTACTCAGTCTGTGTGAGATCAACATTTCTCAGCGGGCGAATGACTTTACCAGAGTAGATGGTGGGATCAGCTTCCTCAGTAATGCCAATCACTGGGTGTGTTTTGTTCACTTTTTCAGTACTGATTTGGTTACCCCTGCCTTTGGACAAGCTGTACTTGACAACCTAAAAGTCGCACACAAGTTGCAATCTGCTGTCTGGGCCTCTGTTTATCACTAATACTGAATTCAACCTTATTTCCTATTTGAGGAGGAGTTGCTCCTTCCACATCCTTGGCTTGAAAAGTGATAGTAAGTTGCACCCCACAATCATCATAAGCAATAATGCCATCCTCGGCCTCCTTCTCTTTGCCTTTATTTGGGCTAGTTTTAGGATTGGAAAAAGTGGCTTCTTTTTCTACAGTGCCCAGAAAACAATAATCTGAATGAGAATAGAATGACACTGTGCCCTTGGGAAGTGTTTTAATCCTAATTGCATTTCTTTGGGCAGAGAACATATCAGGAACCACAGTAAACTTAGAATTTGACTGAAGTGGAAGAACATACAAGGATCATGATCTACACACTTGATGAAACCAAAACCATCTCTCATGGCAGCAATCACACTCATTTCTCTGGTTTCATTAGTGAATTGAAATGTATTTGTTAGAACTTCTATGTGGGCTGCTCGTTCTAATTTGTCATGTCAGTCCGTTGAAATATTAAACCTAACATGGTCGCCTTCCAGTAAGGTCACCTTGGAATTTGTGTCTGTCTCCAAAAGGAAGTTCCTTAGGAATCACAAAGTCAACTTTGATGTGTTCTGGCAATGAATCATTCTGATTTTAACTGGGAGCTTTTGGGATAACTTTGGTTAGTTCCTTCAAAATGTTTAATGCTGATATCTTCAAAAATGACAGTTCCTTGAGGCGATAGTCTGACATCTGTTGCAACTTCTTTACCATTTCTGTCCTTGATTGTGAATTCAACATCATCTCTAGACTGTAAGGCTTCAAGGTCACCCTTAAATTCACTATAGTGAAAGAATATTTCTTTTATATCACCTCTTTCAATAAAGCCAAACGCCTCCTTTATGACACAAACTACTCTGTGACAGAGGGCTTGTTTCTTTTTTAATAGCATAATGTTCCAAGCACTTACAGCACCAGTATGTTTGTTATCAATGACAAAGTTTATCTCCTATTTCCAGCTGAACATTCCCTTTGACATCTTCAGGAGTATAAGTCAGAAAAAATACTTCTTGTCCATTCATTCTTTCTTCAGGGAGGTGTGCACAGAAGTCTGACTACTTTTCCTATTTTTCCAAAATCTTTTCAAAAGGGGACTGGGGGGACCAGCAGTTGGCGTAATGGCTATGTCACTGGACTCCCATGTAGTCGACCACGGTTCGAGTCCTGGACTCGGTGGCTTAAACTCACACCGGGCATGTGTGCATGTGTGCCCAAGATCCCAAGAGGAGAATGGAGGAGAAGGGATTGTGGCGTGGCCATCCCCCCTGGGGGGTGATTTCTCACTTTCTGTCTCTCTGTCTCTGTCTGGGACACAAAAAAAAAAAAAAAAAAAAAAAAAAAAAAAAAAACAAAAAAAAAACAACCCCTAAAAAAAAAAAAAAGGGGGGGGGGGACTGGGGAAGTCATGCCCACAAACATTAACAGACCATTTATTTTCTATTAACAGGATTCTTCCTACCTCCTGTCCCTGGCATGGTATCTTTGAGATGTATATTTCAACCAATTACAGTATATTCTTGTGCTTTTCTCTTCCCAAGACACAGAACTTCTCTTTTCTTTGAGATGTAGATTAAGCCTTTCTTTAACTAATCTCTTCCCAAGACACAGATCTTCCCTTCCAATCACCATCAAAGAATTGCGGAACCCACCTATAACCTACAAGCCCCCACTTCTACATGTCCCGCCTTTTTGGGCCAGACCAACGGAAAATCTCTTCACTAAATGTTGTCTGTCAATCTCAGAAAAAATGAAAAGGAACCCCTGTACATGATCACCCCGAGAAAAGGCACATATGCCTCTTCTCCAGGCCTAGGTCACTCACAGTTGGCTTGGAAATAAACCGCATTAATTATTAACTATTAATTTTACAGTTGGGTTTTTTTTTCCGTTGGCAGAGGATTTCTGGTTTTATCTTCACGGGTTTAATAGCAATTGGTTTTCCAGTCCACTGGTGAGACGATACTTTAAACTCAACATCATCTCCTACTTTTAAGTCCTGTACGTTGCCATTACACTGTGAACAGCTGAAGAAAAGTCTAGCTTGACGTTCTGAACATTGAATAAATCCGCGAAAGGTTAATAGTTTTTCAATAACCCCAGTTTCACAGGGTGCTGCTGAAGTACCACTGAGGTACCCACTGTGTCCATTGTTACGGAGAAGGTTTGGCTCAAAGCTCATCTCTCGTGATAATCAAATATTGCACGTTCAGTAGTATTTGCTGATTTTTCTCTTTCAGCACACGTTTCAAAGGATGAAAGTTGCGAGTATTTAAAAACCGAAAAAGAGAGAGAGAAAATGGTCTACCAAGCTAATAAAGAATACAACTGCTGCTGCACTGGGCAATCTCTCTCTTTCTCTCTCTCTCTCTCTCTTTTTTTTTTTGATAGAATCTTTTATTTTTTTCATTTTTTAAATTTATTTTTGCATGTTTCCGCAATCATTTACTTTACATATCAAAAAAATTTAACTCATACTCCATAGTTCTTGATAGTTAATAAACAACTTTCAAAATTTCAAAATACTGAATTTTAAAGACAATGTTCAAAATATTTCTTATAATTTTGTATAATTTTGTTTGTGACTCTATAACAACAGAAACAGTATGGTTTTAAATATTTTTGAGAAAATATTTTCTACTCAAATATCACTACTCAAATTGTTGAAAAGCAAATGCCCAGCACACTAGTTACACATAAACCTTCTCAATTTAGCCCTGCCCAAGTATTCTGTGATATATCATCAGCTAGCAAAGATCAGTCTCTTTCTTCCTTCGAAGTCTTTCTCAAAATAATCCTCTGGTGTGGTTGCTCTTTTGTAATCTCTCTCTACTGATCAAAATGCTGGGCTGGAAAAGTCCAGGTTATTTTGTTATACATTTTTCATATATCTTCTCTAATTCTCTCTGCCAGGCAGAACTATTTATAATTCCAGGCTATCTTTCTAAGACTTTCTGTTAGCTTACTTGAGATTCACCTTAGTTCCATAGTTTTCTGATTAATCTTCAGATATGACCTTCTGGTCAAAGCCCTGTCCAATAATGAGTATTTCCAGTTTCTGAATCAATGGAATACACATTATTGAACTTATTCAAATAAACCTTCTGCCACAAAGTAAGAATATTCCCAAATATTTTCCAATTCCAGAGGGGTCAGGAAGGAAGAAAAGTTTGTTTCCATTTAAAGAAACAAATAAAAATATTTTAACATATTGCTGAAACTATCAACAACTCAAAAGAAAGTAAACTGTTTAAACTGGGGAAATAAAGAATAGTTAAAAAAAAATCAGTAATGTTTTACTCAAAAGTCATAAAATTCTATTTCGCCAGTTCAGTCTTATGTTCAATCTTCTGTTGAATATGCAGTGTTGCTGTGGTCTAATTGTTCCATTTAAATCCTGGAAGTTAACATTCTACATTGTTATTGATATTTCTTGTTCCTAGCATTAAATTGGTTGTTTTCCTGGTTGCCTTTTGTTCTCTTATTTCTGTATGTATCTTTAATTTTACTGGTTGAGCACTCCTTTCAGAACTTCTTGAAGAGTGGGTTTACTTCTGGCAAATTCTTTCAGGTCTTGTTTATCTGAGTTTATCTTGCTGGGTATGGTATTCTTTGTTGAAACTATTTTTCACTTACCACTTTGAATATATTTTCCCATTCTTCCCTTGCTCACATTGTTTCTGATGAAAAGTCTGAGGTTAACCTGATAGAATAACCTTTATAAGTAAACTGACATTTCTCTCTTGCCAATTTTAGTATCTTGTCTTTGTCTGTAGATTCGACCAGTCTGGCTATGATGTGCCTTGGAGAAGATCTTTTTGGGTCGATTCTATTAGGGGTCCTTTGTATACCTTGGGTCTGGATATTTGAATGCCTCTTTAGATTTGGAAAGTTTTCTTCCAAGATTTCATGGAATAGATTATCAATGCCCTTATTAGTTTCCTCACTTTCTAGTATACCAATTATCTGAATGTTTGGGTGCTTAATGCTGTCTAGTATTTCTCATATAGTATTCTCATTTTGGGGGGTTATTTTCTCAGTATTTTTGGTCATTTTTTCTAGCTCAGAGGTTTTTGCTTTCAACATCCGAGATTTGATTTTCTTCTGGACTATGCTTTTAATACGTTTGAGGGATGTTTTGATTTCCTGAAGGGGCAGCCTTCATCTCTAATAGCTCCATTTAATTCTCTTTAATGGTGTGTATTTCCTCTTTTAGATCATGAAAGAACTTCAACACCTCCAGGAACCTGTTGTCTCTTTTCTTTAGCATCTTCTGGAGTTCATTATCTTTCAGCTCTTGCATCTCATTTAGTTTTGTCAATTTGAATATTCTGATGTCTTTATCAGACATTTCCATGAATTCTACTGTACTATCTGTAGATGATGAGGCATTGCTCTTTTCCCTTAAGGGAAGAGATATTTTCTTACTTTCTCATGTTTCTTGTGCCTCTGCGGTTGTTTCTGGTCATTCTGTGACAAAATCTTTCCTCCACAGTATTTGTCTGAATATTTTGGGAATCTAGGAGATGGGTTTAGAGCAGGGCTTCCCTGAACACACCAGGACACACCTCAGCTTTAAAATGGTTTGTTGTCTGAGTATTTTGGGAGTCTAGGAGATGGGTTTAGAGCAGGGCTTCCCTGAACACACCAGGACACACCTCAGCTTTAAAATGGCTTCTTGTCTCAATATTTTGAGAGTCCAGGAGATGGGTTTAGAGGAGGGTTTCCCTGAACACACCAGAACACACCTCAGTTTTAAAATGGCTTCTTGTCTGAGTATTTTGGGAGTCTAGGAGATGGGTTTAGGGCATGGCTTCCCTCAATGCACCTGCACCGGGCAATCTCACAGTACGGCACTGAAGAAAACAAAGACTACTAGGAGTGTTGGGAAGTGTTCTTTCAAAGCTGTTGAGTAGGCACAAACTTCTTGTTTCAGATCAAGTGTTGTGTCTTCAACTTAAGTGTACTCTTCTTTGGTCTGGTTGGTTGTTATGAGGTTTATTCCTTGCCTGATCTGAACTTGAAGCAGTAGTTTCAGGTGGTAAAGTCTATTCTTTTACACTTCATACCCAACAGCTCAGTGACCCCTCTCCAGTGCCACCATAAGCAGCACGGCCCGGTACATAGCCTGTTATAAAATATTAAGCACCTAGGAGCCAGCTGTTGGCATGGTGGGTTAAGGCAACTGAATCCTACAAGGCCAACAATAACATTACAGTTCTGGACCCACAAGCTTAAAAATATGCTGGACACTTTTACATTTGTGGCCAAAATTCCAAGAGCAGAATGGAGGAGAAAGGACTATGGTATGGCCATACCCCTTGAGGGGTGCTTTATTACTTTCCCTTTTTGTTTCACTCTCTCTCTCTCTCCTGGACAAGTGAAGCTACCCTACAGCAAAACAATAATAATTAAAAAAAATTAAGCTACCAAAAGAACATAAAAAAAGATGCCCGAACTCACTGAAGAAGTATGACATGTTCTTGGGCATAAAGACTAAATACTAAGAAGTATTTTCTAAAAATTCATCACTGGGTAGAAAATAATGATTATGGGTACTCAACAAATTTATAACCTAGCAAATGTTGACATATAACTCCTATCATATAATCAAAGAAAAATATTTTCATATTAGCCTAAACAGAAAATCTATTCATAGCATTTAAAACCAAAACAAAACTTACATATTATATTTAAGCACATTTTTCACATAGGATGTCCATCTCAGCAACAGAAATAAGGGTCAAAATATCATCACTTCATACCCAACAACTCAGTGCCCCCTCTCTAGTGCCACCATAAGCAGCACGGTCCGGTACATAGCATATCTGGAAAATCAGCGGAGTCCAGAGGTGAGATGGATGTTAGCCCAGTACCAGATTGAACCCCTTCAACTGACACCATGGCAACAGTATCTCCCCTTAGAGACATCTTTATTTCTATTTCTTCACCTCAGTAACTTCTCTTAGACTTAATTCTGGAACGTCTTCAATTCCTCATTTATAACATGGGCGTGACAGCAACTGCCCAAACTGGCTCTCAGTATTACCAGAAATAATACCAAAATTTTGTTTAAGAAATCAAATGAAAGCAGGTATCACTGCTGGGAGGTATAAAACATGCTCTACAGGTGTGAGCATTGTTCACATGGGACTCAAGACCAATGGTCAAAGTGGAAAAGGGCCTAGTCACTCACCACGAACTGACTCTCATCAGTGGGATTGGGAAGCAGGTGAAGAAGACGGTTACCAGGAGAAAAGGCTTCCTCCCCCACACATCAGACAGAGCACCTATGAGTGGAGCACTCAGGAAAGAAAGTAGGCCCTGGAGAGGAAACAGAAGCAAAAGTCAGATTCATCATCTGATCCCTCAATAACCTGCAATCCTTACTTTCTAAATGTATCGGTTCCAAATATTTTAGTGTCTTATTTGAAACATTAAATATACAAACTACTATTAAAAAAAAAAAGACTTCTAACAAACTTTTTAAACCTGCTGTTCGGAAAGGAAGGGGTGGGGAACCAGCAGTTAGCGTAATGGCTATGTCGCTGGACTCCCTCGTAGTCGACCGCAGTTCACGTCCCAGACCCGGTGGCTTAAAACTCACGCCGGGCGCATGCGCATGCATGCCCAAGATCCCGAGAAGAGAAGGGAGAAGGGATTGCAGCGTGACCATCCCCCCTGGGGGGGTGATTTCTCGCTTTCTGTCTCTATGTCTCTCTCTGTCTGGCGAGCGCAGGCACCCTGTAGTGAAAACCTCTCCCCACCCCACCCCCCCAAAAAAAAAAACCAGAAAGGAAGGGGTAAAAGTAACATTTTCTAGAAGAAACTGGAAGAGATAATGTGTAATACATATATCCATAGGTGGGTGGCCCTTAAGTTGAACACATGTCAAGCACCTGGGGAGAAGCCCAAAATTTAATCCACATATATGTCATGTGTATTCTGCCCGAAGTTTTGTATAAGCTGATGCAATGAGGACACCCAAATACAGTCTGGCCTTCGAAGGGCCTCATAGAGATAAAAAGGATGAGTGCATACACACTAATAGCAGATTCTTGCTTGACTGAAGTAAAGGTTCTCTCTACCTGGTCATATCGAAGAGATAGCATGGCTTGAGCAACCAGGAAGCTAAGACTAAGGAGAGGCAAATCTGAAACAGGGACTACCACACCAAAGGAAGGAGGCAGATATTGTGTCTATTACCTGCCCACCCTCACATCAACACTACAGATAAAGAGGGAGGATGAAGTCAGAGTAGGAAAATGGTAATAAATGATGAAATGGTAAAGAGCACATGGGTATTCATTACATAATTCTTGGCTTTGATGTACTTGAATTTTCATAACACTTTTAAAATTTTTTCTAGAATAGCACACAAACAGAGCCCTTCAAAATTTGAACTCTGACAAACACCCTGTGTTGCCACTATATGCACTACTTTTAGTCTTCTGAGCACATCATATCCCTCTGTGCCAAAGGGCTTTTTGCACAGGTCCCTGCTGTGGCCATATAGCCTTCCCACCTGTGGACTACTTGCTGAACTGCTAGTCCCTCTGCTCCATGCCAGGTGAAGTGCCTCCTTCATTTGTTTCCTAGGTACTGGAGCAGAGTTAATCACACTACAGGGAAGGGTAAAATAAACTTCTCACCTGGTATATAGGCCAAAATTTATTCCATTTCTATGTGTGTTTTCAAAAATTTGTTCTTGATAGAGCATATGCATGAAATAATAAAAAAGAGAAGAGCACTCTTCTTGAGGTGGGGGGTCACACTGTCACCCCCTTTCTCTAGTCCTACTTGAATGTGTGCCTGGCATGTTTCAGGTTGACCAGACAAGTGGATTTAAGCCAAAGACATTTTATGGGGCGCAGCTTCTCTTGTGCAGCACATGACTGTTCTGCTGCCCCAGAGCTGGCCAGGGATATATTCTGCTTTTAAACAACAGATAGGTAAAGGCCAAGTAATAAAGTTATTTATTTATTTTTTTAATTTTAATTGGGGCCAGCAAATGGCGTGAAGGTTAAGGGAGCTAGATCCCACATGACTGGCAGTGTGGTTCAAGTCCTGGACCTAGTGGCTTGAAAACCATACCGGTGTGTGCCATGTGTGTAACCAAATCCCCATGGAATGGAGGGGAAGGGATTATAGTGTGACCATCCTTCCTGGGGGGCACTTTCTCACTTCCCCTTTCTCTGTCTCTCTCCAGTGAATAGAAGCACCCTGTAACATTAAAATCTTAAAATGTTTTAATTAAAAAAAAAAACAGTAATATAGTTTTATAGAAAAAAATACTTTTTTTTAGATTATGGATTTAAATTTTATTTTAACCCACACTTTAAAATCCAGTTCTAAATGATAACAACATACTGAAAATATCTTCTGTGAGAACATACTACTTTATTAAGATATTATAATACAGGGACCAGCAGGTATAGTGGCTAAGGACACTAGACTCCCACATGGCCAACTGCGGTTCAAGTCTCAGACCTGGTGGCTTGCTTGCTCTCTCTCTGGACAAATTAAAATAAATAAATAAAGTTAAGGTTAAAAAAATATATTATCATAGAATTAAAATATTTGCCCCTTTAGAAAATTTACATTTCCTATAAGCCAAAGACTTTCTTCTGTCTAGAGTTATCCTTTACTACCCAGATCTCATCAGGCCACATTACCAGAGCTATAGCCTGTTTAAAAATTCATACTAGACCAATGCCTAGACCATACTCTTTATCTCAAATATAGTCAATTCCCATGTTCACTGTAATTATTCTCTCTGTGGCCACAAATACTGAATCAGTGAATACTGAATCACTGCTCCTGGGTCATGAACATCACAGTGTGGCCTTATTCAACCTCAGCTAGAAACATGCCCCCTGCTTTGATCATGTCTGTGTGTAGTCACAAAATGCACTGTCTATTGATTTTGGAGTTAGAAGCAAACTTAGCAAGTAGGTGGGTTTGCAAATATGGGATTCCCAAATAAAAAGGATCAACTGTAGCTCTGTTATGCAACCGCAGCACAGTGCCAGATAACACAGAGAGTGCAGTCAGCAGGTGGTGTGGTGGTTAAGGTGGTGGATCGCACATAGACAACACCACTGTTTGAGGCCTGGACCTAGCAGCTTGAAAAACATGTGCATGTGCATGCATGCCCAAAGTCCCAAGAGGAGAATGGATAAGAAGAGATCGCAGTATAGCTCTCCTCCCCGGGGGAGGGTAATTTTTCACTTTCCGTCTCTCCCTCTCTAGTCTAGGAAAAAATCTAAAACAAAACAAAACAAAACCAAAAAACATGTGGATGTCAAAAATCTCATCAGTTGCAGACACTTCTGGAGAGTTGGCTTCCAAGTATTTACTTAAAAGTACCACAATCAATTGGCCAGTAATTGTGACATAGTCTTATACATTCTAATTTGTCAAAACAGCAACTAAAACTTATTGTTCAATTAAATATAATTATCAAGTAAGCTTTTAAAAGCAAAGAATAGAAAATACAACTTGCCCAAAGAAACATATATAAATTTTACACTTTATACATTCATCACAAAGGTTTGTTTTAGCTTTGTTACACAGCATGTGCACTTGCCAGAGAGACAGAGAGAAAGTGAGAGGAAAAGTGAGACATTACCTCCAAGGGGAATGGGCATGCTACAATCCCCTCTTGCGCCAATATCCTCCTGGGATTTTGGGCATAAGTGCACATGTACCTGACGTGAGTTTCAAGTGAAACCACTATCAGCCGTGCGGGAGTTCAGCACCTTAACCATTACGCCACCTGCTGGCCCACCCTTCTCCATTCTCCTCTCAGATTCTTGGGCATACATGCAAATACACTAAGCCTGATTTTCAAGCCATGAGGTACAGGACTCAAACTGCGCAGTCGGCCATGTGGGATCCAGCACTTTATCTCCACGCTACCTGTTGGCCCCATTATAGAGCTTTCGTGCATATATTTTCCTTAATATATGCGGTTTGTAAAATATATGAATAAAACCATTTGGGTCAATAACCTTAAAAATCTTTAACACTAAAAAGTTTTTTGTTTACTATCTGATATTATCAATATAATTAATTTTGCAAATGAGTTTGAGGAAACAGTGATAACAATGAAGAATAAAGCATTGTCGCTCCCCAGCCCAACTCTACCTCCTTGACTGTCCTTCCAGGCCCCAGGCAATAGATTCAACTAGAAGCCTCTGGTCAGCAAGGGACTCTGAGGGAGGGTCATCTCTGACCCCCACCCCACTTCCAGTCTCCCCAGTCCGACTCCACCTCCTTGGTAGGTAGATAGAAATTTTCTGTGGCTTTTTTTTTCCCCTTTTTTTCCCCTTGGAGCCCACCTATTCTATTGCTAATTCCTAGCTCTGCCTCTCTTCACAGACTGTCCTTCCAGGCCACAGGCAACAGGACCAACTAGAAGTCTCTGGCAAAATCGCGCACCCCGCTAACGTGCAGAACGTGACTTTTTATCTCTCTCTGTTGTCTTTCATTTCATTTCATATTATCCTCTCCTCTGCACTTCTTACCCTGACAGAGGGACTAGACAGGTCTTGAACCACACATCTGAAATTCCCTAGTAACGCAAGTGTCTCTGGGATCCTACCTTGTACTGATCAACCTGTGAGAACGGAATTACTGCTTTTTAGACACCTCAGTAGAGTTCCTCTCTTGAGATCTCATTGGTATAAACAACAGAAGAGAGGCTTCGGCAAACATCTATTCCTGACCAAAAAGAAACACTCCTACTCCTAGTGGGAGAAACATTCCCCTAAGAGGTTTTCAAAGGGAATACATCTTCCAATAGCTAGAGGTAGAAAAAGAGCCTCAGGTCAGAATAAACAAGGAAATATGTTTCCAACAAAGGAAAATGCTCCTCCATGTCTTGTAAATATGGAGGACGTTACCAAAATGACAGACAAAGAGTTTCGAACATTCATGGTGACCAAATTCTGTGAACTGGAAGAGAAAAGACAATGAACTGCAGGAAATTAGGAAGTCCTTCCAGGATATGAAGGAAGAAATGGATACTCTGAGAAAGAATCAGG